ATAAGAAACCCACTTTGTAACGGATATAAGAAACCCACTTCGTAACGGATATAAGAAACCCACTTCGTAACGGATATAAGAAACCCACTTCGTAACGGATATAAGAAACCCACTTCAACTTTCTTGTGGGGCAAAAACAAACGCGTAAAATAATGCGAACGCAGATAATTTTTAACAACGGTTACAAACTGCATTTTACCGTATCCCCAGAACCAACTTAATGCACGACCTAAGACATTCTCAGATCGTTAGAGGCCTGTGAGAAAGGAAGGTGTCTCTTACAAGAGTACAAAATCCATTAACGCTTCGCCCGCAGAAGAAACGCGTAATGGCAGCTGTAAGAACGAGCGCACCGCGCACCTCATGCCATCTCCCGCGGTAGTGTGCTAAGTGTACTATGGGCCGGAGGCACTTTTTGGAGGGTCAGCCAAGGGAGAACTACAAAATCTAACTTCTTACTTCTAAAACTGCAGAGGAGCCAGCTGTCTCGCTTTGAGCCTTCATGAGTGTCGACACGTCAGCGACTTCAGTAAACGTGTGGGTGAGGAAAGGCCTCTTGCTCATCAAACACGGAATCGCCTCGGGCTCTGGAGTAGGTTTCTGTCCTTGTTCTTCAGTGGCCACCGGTCCTGGCTGATCAGTGACTGCCGTTTTTTCGCCCCCTCCCTTTATAAAGACAAAGTACGCTACCACTCCCGCAATAACCAGCACGACCAAAATAACAGCCACAATTAGCCAACTCGAACTGCAAAACAAAAGTATCGAACATTGCGAAAAAATTAAATTGACATTTGCAAGGGATTCTACTGTTGCTTATGCACCCGCGAGGTTGTCGTGGACGAACGGTGGTCTCAATTAGCCTATTAAATTAATCTTTCGGCTAATAGTACCCGGTAGCCAATTTAAACAGGTTTTGTATTTGCCACGGATAAACTTGCATGATTGGAATAAGTGGAGCATCCCTCACAGCTGGGGCTAATCTACCTCGTATGGATCGTACGGTGTCACAGACTCTTGCACATCAAATAGCAAACGATCGTTGAACTGTTATTACTTACAATATCACCAAACTGTCATTAAGAAATAACAAGGATTTTATTATTTTTTCGTATTGCGTGAAATCTGTTTCGCTAAATTCAACGTTCTCGGATTAAAATTGTATAAAGGACATTTTTGCCTCAAAAGTCGATCGACCTAATATTGCCTTCGGACAGGAATAGACTGTGGTCGCAAGTTGATATCTGTTGGCCGACCCTAGCAATATATACTACCATCAATAAACCTATTATTCCTGAAGTTGAGCACCCAAAGAATGTCCCCTATTCTTACGCAGTTCTTTCCTGTTACTAGGCACACTACATTGTGTAATAGCCCACTAGACCTAAACTAATTCTAGACTACCACTAGATCAAGAATGAAGTGGCTATTCTGCAAAAGCTGATTACTCCAATACCATTACAAAGAGCTTACCCTCCTTTTTCACCAGCACCCTCCGCACCAGGTTTCGGTCCTTCACCAGGTGGGGCCTCAAGATCTTCACCTCCTGCTCCTTCAGTTGATCCAGTCTCTCCTGTGCTCTCAGGCTCTTCACTGCGGAAGCTTTCACCAAAATCCCCCTCATCTCCCATGGCAGGGTCTCACAGTAGGACAACTCTAGGTAGTATGCGTGGGGGAGAAGGAACAACTACGAGTGAATCGACCAGTTCACCCGCACAATCCACTGACGCTTAATTAAGGTCAGACACCTTCGTTATTTGTGATGTATGGCAACCGCTTTGCGATGACTTCGATATTTGCACCCAGCGGTTCTCGTGGACTCGGAATTAGTATCCACTTAATACTATATGTCGCTTTCATATACAGACGCTGCAAACGGCGGAGATCAATCAGTTTTATATCCTTACCCAAATTAGCGCTGTTTTTGCTCGCATTTTGGAAATAGCTACCGAAGGAAAGGCGACACAAAAGCCTGCACAGTATTATTAAAAGCAAGTGACACAAAAAAGGCAACCTCACTAGGAGCAATTAGTCCCATACCTAATTTTATGTCATACATTTGAGCATGCAGCACACAATCATGTACAGACCAGTAACAGCGGTTTCGTTTCTAATGGGTGTACGAAATATCCAGATTTCGGGTTTGAGATGTTCGATTTGAACACAATTTTTTGTGGAACTGAACTGGCCGTTTTCTAGCTAATATACAATGAAAGGGGCTGTTTCAGATTAGCGCCGATTTGGAGTTTATGGGAGCTGTTACCTATTCGATAATGCTGGTGGAGTGGACCTCGCCCATTTTCGTTGTCATGTAATGGAATTTCTCCCAAAGGTCAGCCATGGAATAATTTCAAACTGTGCCATCTGTGCCATTTTCAGTGTTTTTGCGCTGCTCATTCTGAATGCATGAACACAACGGACGTGTGAAGAATTCGTAAAAATTCATGAAATAAATTCTAATAGTTTCAACTGTGTAAAGTTAAACGAGAATAAGAACTATATAACATCATCTCGACGATAATCATAGGTTTTACAGTACGCTATTTAATTTCGCAAGAATGCTCGATCTCGTTACTGTATCTTCAGTTGTTTGAAGGAATTACAATGCCCAAAATAACATACTGCCATACTGAGTCTCGTCAGACCTGTGTCAAGTAGATGACAAACTAACGGTAACGACAAAAGAGTAAAAGATCGATCTGTCAATTGCGACAATAATATACACCGGTACGTATGCCGTTAACAAGCATACGACTAAGAATATGCCACTAGTAAATGTCAAGCTAAGCGATCTTTGTTGTGGCGTTTCGGGTAATCTATCCAAAATCGCAAAAGCAGACATTGCAAACGAAGCGTTTACCTGACGCATGTTATAAAAAATATAAACACTACGGAACTTTGCGATATGTTAATTAAAGGATATTTGCATAGTGTTGTATATATAAACATGTTTTCCTTTGCAGGTTATGGCTAACCAATGCGTCTGCGGAACGAAAGCTTACTGCGATGGGTCTGGCGCTTTATTTACACTTTTATGATTTACTGGCGCTTAATGTTACACAGTTTTTAAGTGGCTTACATTTTCATTTAGGTAAGCTGATAGCTTATAAAAACAAGCTTCTACTTCTACGTAGATACTTCCAACAAGTGGCTGACAAACAAAAAGGACAAGAAGGCACAAAAATAAGCAACATGTTATGCTATACGTTATTTAGAATAATTACCGAGAATTGAAGGACTCGCTGTCATGTTGATTGGTGTAAGGCAATTTGATCAAAACAAAGCTAGAATACGCAAGCAGGCTTTCAAACCAAATACAAAAGAAAATCGCTTCTTCTTTTTTTAAGTCTAACAGGCTCGTAAAACACACACCAGATTCAGATAGAACTTATGTTCTCAATAATTACTCGACAATACTAATAGTTATTATTATTAATGAACAACTGTTATATGCCCATCGTCCATTCATGTCAAATCGAAAATTCAGCCACCTTATATACCATATCGGTAATTTTGGGGCAGAAAATGTATCGCAGATCTGCATTCTCTTTGTTGTATCGTTCGTGTTTTCGCTTTGGGAGTATACGTGTGAATGCTATTAAGTTATTTCGTTTCTTCAGACTGTTTCACGTAATCTTAAGTTCTGCATAAACCTGTTTCGTCTACTAAAGTGATTTGTTTTAGCTGTTCGTAATTTTCCTGTACCCATTTTGGTAGCGAATGGACACGTCGGCTTATGAAAAAGGCGCCCATGGAACTCCACTCATAAATACGTCTTTCGACTTCGCTTATTCAAAATGACATGCTTAAGCGTTTGTTACACAGTGGAGTAAGGTCTAGATTATAAGCAGGTACAAACTTTCTCAGACTTTTCTGGGTTGTTGAAGTCTCATAATGTGAAACGTTTTTAATCAACAAGATAACTTCGTGTGCTAATTTGCCTCCCCAAGGCTCCTAGTCTATTCTGTAGCTGAGTGGCCATGCGGTCTGCGTTAGTCACGTCCCTGTACTTCCGAAATTCATGATAAGTCGCCCCTTTCAGATTTCCTTTAACCCTATGAACTGCTCACGTCAAGGCCTATTCACGGTTCACCCATTTTTCTCGTTCTAGAGCTCCTTGTGAGAAATTCCTTTTCTACTGTCCATACCGTTCATATGCCGCAATAACATTTTAGCTTTTATCGCGAGCGATTGTACGCTTATCTCCAAATCGTTAAAAATGATACTAAACTGAATTCACTAAGTGGGACCTATTTTTTTGTCTTTCATGGAATTTTTAATGGAAAGAGGCGATTCGTAAGTAGGGCGCAACTAGTTCATATCTCGCAGCAAGTGGGCCTAATTTCCATGCGGTAAAGCCTACAGTTCGTCATCTTCCAACTTCTGCTATTTGGAACAGCGATTGAGGCTTTATACTAAACTTATTGACCCCCTATGTATACCGATTTAAACTGTGCCCGGTAAAGATGAAAAGAGTTATTGCTTTTATACTAGAAAACGTTGACAGTCGATTGCTTAAAATTCGATGACGGCATGCTAACGTTTTATATGACTCCTATGAATACATAAACTTCTAAAAAATTGCAAACGATCAATTTTGCCGGTAGTGCTTAACTTGGCGTTAAGTAGAGCTCTCTTTCGCTCTTTTACAAGGCTAAAACAAACCTCGTCGACGAACGCAGTAACAAGGTACTGCGAATCATCCTTCTATTTTTTGCGCGATGCTTACTATATCAACTGCAGTTTCCCAACGTCGGATAAGAAGAAAACAGAACCCGAAGATTTGCAGCTTTTCGATCTCATGATTTAATCATACAGAAGACTGTTACAAACGAGAATGTGAAATTAACGCCAAACGCCGAATGAGAATATATCAATTTTTAAGGTAAACGGTTGAATAATTAGTAAAAGTTAAAGGTTGACAAAATGACATTCTGATCGACTCGATAATATATAGTACGCATGCCCTTTGGAAGCTTTGCCTATTGAGCTTTTAACCTTGACTTAAATTAAGTTTTAACTTAAAATTCCAATTTACCTAAATGTTAAAGAAACATTCAGTAACAAATGAATCAAATTTGTCACAGTACCTTGTAGCAAATCTTCTACGCTTTAACAAAAACTCGAATAGCAATAAAAAGGATAGTTAATATAATAGATTTTCTTTCCCTTTTTCTCTATATTGTTTTTGTTTATATCCCTTATGTCTCACTCATCATGCTTGCAGTTGAGGTCTTTCGCTACGTATTTCAAACCAAAAAAATGAGAATGCCACGATCGGCTGCTCATATGCGGTAAACATTTTTTAACTTTATGCAATTAATGATCAGTCCTGAAGATTTTCTTATATTTACGTAATCAGGCTCTTGTCGACGAGGTCCTCGATTACTGTTTTTGGCCTTCGAAAGCATGATCATTAGATCTTATACCGACCATACCCAGCCAAATATTGAATCCTGTCTAAAATTTTCTTGCACGCTATCTCGAGCGCCCTCATCACTTACGATTCATAAAAAAGTTCAGTCATATGTAGCACGCTTTGAAACTTCATATGAAAATAGGACAAACGCAAACATCGCAGGAAAATCTCTTTGAAAATTAAGTTGGGAAATGCTTAAGCAAAATTGCTTGGCCACAGCCTTTTTGAACCTAACGATATGCCTTGATTTCACAGTAGTGATTTACTTCTGTCAGATATGAACCTTCTATCACTTACCATTCCTCAAAGGTTGTACTCAAAACTTGCCCATGAACGCTGTTCAGGTCTGTTGAGTCAGACATTATATCTAATTAATTCCGCGTAAGTTAAATATGCGCATATGATACATACAAGAACCCAAAGCTGGGTAGCGTAGACGAACGAAGAACGCCAAACAAACCTTAAAATCTGAAGCAAAGAATAAAGAAAGTAGAAGAGTTCACTTCTAGTAAAGCCTATTTGGAAACTCGCTGCTGTAACGTAATTGTAGATTGTTGAGTAACTTAAACGCTAAACTGGTTCAGCTGGTCAATACGTGGACTAAAGATGTGTTAGTTAAATGCTTACTATAATGAATACAGGTGCTTCTATACCCATTGCAAGGAAACGACTTCAGCGCGTGGAATAGAATCATTTGCGTTGACAACGAAGGTTCGTTCTAATCGGGGGTAAGTTACTGGCCGCATTGCAGCGTAGTGACTACGCGCCATGGAAGAAAAAAATAAACTGGAGTCCAAAAGAATTTCCGGCCCTAATCCTTTGAAGACTTCTGACGTGAAAAGTATTTTCCAATCATCTGATGCTGCGGGTTCCGATGCAACAAGTGATATTCGATCGAGGCGTGAATCAAAGAACACCCCAATGTCACCTGGACCTCCAAGAGCGCCGCAGCTTAGTAGCGATTCTACGTCCCCTCAGCAAGAGAACTCTCAAGAAAAAGCGGGATTAAACACCTATATTCTGTCGCCTGAGCCAAAAAGTGGTTTTAAGGTAGCTGTAGACAAGGTTGTAGCAAGAGCTCCTGCGGACGGGAATGTAGCTAAAACACTTGAATCCAAAATTTTCGGTAAAAAGCCTAACGCTAAACATAGTGACAATGACTGGAAAACTAGTAAGCGATTAATTTCGCCTCCGTCTGATAGCCAGACAATGAGCAGCCTGTCGACGACAACAACGAGCGGTAGTAGCTTTACTCCCGCGGGTCAAAAGCGAAGCCCAGCAAGTGATCGGCAAGACGATTTGCAGAACATTTTCGGCGAACACGTTGATCCACAGTCGGTCAGTGCCACTTCAAAACCAAAGTATGCATCATTTTTAACTTTTTTTTTTCTAAGAAGCACTATTCCAAATCTCAAACGAATACCAAATAATCTAAGAACAAATTTATTTAACAAACGCTGTGTAGGTACATTTAGTACTCGTCTTTCGAGATCTTAAGGTGAGACCTTTTAGGCCAACAGATGTGTTAAAATCTTGGCATTATTTTACGAGAAAGAACTTCTATTCCAGACCTAATGAAGATTTTTTCTCCAAAAATATGTATTACACACAACTAAACGTCTTCAAAAGTTCCATGCTAATATAGAGAAGCGCTGAAGAAAATAGAGCGCCCTAGCATCTCTTTGACAACCAGTACGGCTCCTACAAAGTTGAATTCCATCAGCGAATCCAGCCAGGTCAACAGCG